ATTGTTTCTATAGTATAGTAGTTACTATCCTAGTGTCTCATTTTTATTTTACTTAGTTTACATGTTTTTAATAATTGTAAAGCGCTTAGAGCTTTATGGTAAGCGCTATATAAAAATGCCTAAATAAATAAATAAATAATTGATAACTAACAGTTACTGAAAATGTATTAGTTTTCAGAATTTAAAAAGTCTGGCATATTTTAATTATAATCAGATATAGACTCCTTAGATTTAATGCAAGTGATTAAGCACGAAGTACTCTAAGACTAGGTAAGTGGTAGTGAATGCTTAAACAAATAAGAAGTTTTAAAATGGCAAAAATCCAAGAGAAAAATATTTTTTTACCCATTTAAAAAATTAAGAATCATTTTCAATTAGATTATTAAAAATACAAAAAATGCTGGATGAGTTACTGGAACTGAGTAAGATTTCAACCATATGAGTAACTATGAGCAAGAGAGGTCACTGTAAATTAAAGCTTGGAAAACCTCACAGAAATCATACCAATTCCAAAGAAAAATAATATAACTTGCAACAACGACTTACATTTACATCCTGTCGCACTTACCTCTATAGTAATGAAATGTTTTGAGAAACTTATTCTGAGACTAGTTTTGAAAGAAGTAAAGCAAAAACTTGACCCCCACCAATTTGCTTTCAAACCCGCCAGAAGCACGGAGGATGCTATCTTACTATTGTTGGAGAGACTTTATCATCATCTATAAAGCCCTAAAAAATATGCCAGAGTGCTTTTCTTAGACTTCTCATCAGCATTTAACACTATCCAACCACACCTAATGATAAATAAACTTTCCTCGTTGGGTGTAAATTTAAATAGTCAAGTTTGGATACTGAACTTTTTTACAAATTGCCCACAATATGTCAAGATAAATGATCAATTATCTCTAACCAGAGAAATAAGCACCGAGGCGCCACAAGGCTGAGTTCTCTCTCCTTTGCTGTATACAATATATACCAATGATATTCAGAGCTCAAGCGACACCGTTCTAATCTTAAAATTTGCTGATGATACCACCATCGTTGGCTTAATATCTGAGGGAGAAGGCTTATGCCGCAACTTACTTACAAGCTTTATCAATCGGTGCGATGAAAATTTTCTCCAGCTGAATGTCTCAAAAAGAAAGGAAATGGTTGTTGATTTCAGGAGGGGGAAACACCAGATTACAGATCTCAACATAAAAAATCAAAGTGTAGAGAAAGTAGAGGCATTTAAGTACTTATGTTTCACCATTAATAATAAGCTAACATGGCATGAGCACACTCAAATGCAGTATAAGAAATTCAACCACAGACTGCTCTACCTCAAGAAACTGTACAAATTTGGTGTAAAACAAACAAGTCGTTAACTTATTCTACAGTGCAACTTTTGGAAGCATACTTAATTTCAATATTACCTGCTGGTGTGGGAATTCATCATTTGATATTAAATACCGAATAAACATACTAATCAAGAAAGCTAGGAACATAACACAAACTAAACATCTTTCACTTGAAGAACTATTTGATGAAAGATGTTATTATAAAACTAAACAAATTTTTGATGATACATCTCACCCTTTTCATCACAGATACTTAGGATCGGCCCGCTTGGGACAAATTCTTTCACTC